GCTAAACTAAAGTCAAAATGGATCAAAGATCTAAATATTAAAATGAAAACATGGACTCTATTGGAAGAGACAGTAGGTAGAAATCTTGAAGACATAGGTGTAGGCAGAGACTTCATGAACAAAACCCAAACTGCACGAGAAATACTCCAAAGGATCAACAACTGTGATCTCATCTTATTAAAAAGTTTTTGCACATCAAAAGAAATTACCAAGAGATTAAAAAGTTAGCCCACAGAGTGGGAAAATTTTTAGGCAACAGTCCCCCAGACAAGGACTTATGTTTAGAACACATAAAGAACTAAAAAAATCAGTAACCCCCCAAATTTAGAGACCCAATCCAAAAATGGCATCTGAGATGAATATGCACTTCTCAGATGATGAAACAGATAGCAAATAAATATATGAAAATTATGTTCAACATCATTGGTCTTTAGAGAGATGCGAATTTAAACAACACTGAGATTCCATTTCACCCCAGACAGAATGGCTACCATCAAGAAATCAACCAATAACAAATGCTGGAGGGGCTGTGGGGAAAAAGGAACACTTCTCCACTGTTGCTGGAAGTGTAGACTGGTGCAACCACTGTGGAAATCAATGTGGAAATTCCTTTAAAAACTAGGATTAGAGGCCCCATTAGGCCCAGTGATTCCCCTTCTGGGTATTTTCCCAGAAGATCTGAAAACATCATATCACAGTGATATATGTGCACCCATGTTTATAGCACAATTTGTAATAGCTAACTCTTGGAAGAAACCCAAATGCCCATCAACAGCGGAATGGATAAAAAAGTGGTGTTTTGATAGAATGGAGTACTACTAAGCTATAAAGAAGTATAAGTTTGAGGCTTTTATAGGTAAATGCAATTTGAGATCACACTCTTAAGTGAAATGAATCAGTCTCTCATGTGTAAACATAGTATTGTCTCCCTAATGTAAGAAGCTGAAAGAGTAAATAAGATCCAAAATGTAGAATAACTATTGGAAAATGAGAAGAAACTGTTCAAAAGGAAAGAAACTGGGATGGGGGAAAGGAGAAAAGAAGGGAAAAGGAAAAAATATATATATATATTTATAGGAAAAGTAAATTTATATGGAAAAGTAAATATATGTGATAGTTAAGATAGCTATACTACTAATTTCTATTAGTTCTTTGAAAGGAAAGATTTGTGCTTATACCATTTGATCAATTTTTCATACCTATATCTTATAATCTGAGCAACTACTTTGAAGATTACAATAAGTAATGTACTAACCATTGTTGCTCTTCTACTCTTATTTTGAAATTTTGTATCATTGTTTTTGTTGTTTTTTTCTCTTTAAAATTAAAAAAAAAAAATTAAATTTGTTTGCCAGAACAGATTTGAAACTCATTTCCTTCCCTTCATCTGGGAAAAGAAGATGACCGTAAACCTCCCTACCCTTTATTCATCAAGATGCCTGAACAAGGTTCTTGTTTTATTTTTTCGGAAGAGAAGCAATAACGGAATCTTTTCCAAATAAATTTCATTGTGTATATTTAAGGTGCACAACATGACGTTACAGGAAGTTTTAGATTTTTGAGGTAAGGAGAAGTGAGTTGGGGCACAAAAAGCTGCACAGAAGGGAGCCAAATTTCTTGGTTAAATTCCTTACTCTTCCTTTCACAATAAATGCTTTATTTCTGTAACAAGTGCTTTCCAGAGAAGCATAACGCACAGATGCGGAAGTCAGGCCACCGACTCCAGGAACTTTCCTTTTGACAGCTCTCATCTATGCCTCTGTCATTTCACTGGAATTAGGAACTGAATAGCCTCACTTAAATCACTGAATCATTTTTAACATAACATAATAAAGGGACAGTTTTCAGAAATATGAACAAATATAGATAAAAGCAAGATTACAAGCTGTGAAAGCAGAGCATAACTGTGCTACTAAGTGGGGGGGGGGTGTCCCAAGATTACAGCCATTCATAGGGTACCTGCTTAGTCTCCATTATGGGGCAGTACCGAGAACAACAGCATGATAAAGGTACAGTTATAATGCTGAACAAATATCCCCTAGCCTTAGGAAGCCTCAAGATACTGAAGGTAAAGAATGTTTATAAATTATCTCTATAAACACTGTAGGAGTCATTCTTTAAAATGAAAAATAACAAAATTCCTCCTAAGCAGCAGGCCCTAATTTATTGTCCTTGCGATACTAATCCCACTTAATACAAAGTACTTTGTGCATAATTTCAACACAAGGGCTGACATCTTCCCCCAGTTACCAGGTACAAGGTACACAAGTTCAAAGTTTTGAATAAATTTTGAGACATCACTACAAAAGCAAATTATACAATGTACAAGTGTTTTCTCTTAAAGCAAAAATTTACCTGTGTTCTCAGGGGAAAAAAATAGCATTTAGGCAAGACTGTCTAGAAAATTTCCTCTCAAACTATCATATTTTATAAATAATTGGACCAGCAATAGATATCAAAACTAAATTCAACAAGAGAAGTTAATATCATTGGAAGTGGCATTTCATGAACTCTTTTTTTCTTTCTCTTTTTCCTTTATTCTTTGGTTCCTTCTGCCTTTGACTTGACTTTGTGTCACCTCAAATATGTTTTGATCAAGTGGAGATCCTCATAGCTACAGAAATAAATAATCTCTAATCTGTGCGTATTTAGTGTTCTAATACCAGCAAATCAAGTGCCTGTAACAGATAGTTTAGCAAGGATGGTAAATCGACACAATTATACCACTACTGAGCATAAATGTCAGGGAAAAAAACTTACAAAATTAAGCAGCTAGCCTTAAAAAAATGTGACAGCAGATGTTATAGAACCTCTAATCCTTTTTCACAAAAGTATGTGTGGTTTTCCCTGCTAGGCTATGCAGTAGAAAGAAAAATAGACACTTCAGTCATGAAGTTAAAACGAAAAAGCTTTTCTCTAGAGTTGGGTAGGTCAGAAGTTGCTTCAATCTATTTAGTTGTGCAGTAATTAACCTGATGAGTGAGAAAATGTGGCTTTTGGCCCTGTCAATCAGAGAAAGACTTATGCTTTGTAGCGTGACATTATGATGGGATGGGAAAAAGCTTGAGCTTTTTGTGTGTGTGTGTGTGTGTGTGTGTGTGTGTGTGTTTGGCGTTCCGAAACTAGCGAGTCCATGTGCCCATGGCAGAGGAGATTAGCCAGGGTGGTGAATGGATGTAGGAGTGCTGTACATTTTTAATTAGCATTTCAAGTATGTTTAAGAGTCCAGTGGTAAAACAAGTCTCTCTTACAATTGTTTTGATTATTATGCATCTTCTTAAGTTAATGACAGATTTCTGTAGCATGATACAGTGAAATATAAGGCATTGTTTTCAAGAAATTAAAACATATGCTATAAAAATAAAAATAATTTCTCCTTAGAAAATTAATAAATTAGTTAACATTTTCAAAATGATAAAGTTATGATTTATATGATATACAGAAATACTAGCTTTCTCAATCTTATTCCTTTTCCTTAAGCTGAAAAGGGAGAGGAAAAAAAGGAAACAAAGAACTGTCAAGTAAATAAGAAAATCCCTAAGAACAGCTTGAAAAGTCAAATTTTACTTAATTGCTGTGGTGGAACATAGAATGTAATTCACATATGTTCAATTTATACCTTAAGCATAAGCAGTTATGTGCTGATATAATTAGAAAATTACCTAAGGAGCTAGAAAATCACAATCTGATAAAACATCACTTTTCAAAGTTGAATTTTTAAGCAAATTATATGATATGTTATAAAAATATTCATACATTGGTTTTAAAACTTCATGACAGATCAATGCCAAGGGTTTTTATTAAAGAAACTAGTGTTTATTAAAGAAACTAGTCTTAGAAAATAATTCTTTTTGAAAGAATGTGAACATTCAATGTCTAAAACCTTTGTAGATCTCAAAGTTGATAAAAATACAAAATAGACCTTTAATTGTAGGATTAGGTCATTGTTCAACTTTCAGAGCTACTCACTGTTACTCAGTAGAAAGAGCAACACTTTCAAATGAAGACGTTTGAACAACACCTGAAGCTAACTCAGCACAAGCTACCAGTCAAAGTGGAAACAACAACAAACAGAGATGGATAATAAAATGGTAAAAACAGATTTTATTCATACAAACTATTGCAATAGTGGAAATAAAACCTCAGTACAGAATAGCAGCAATTGAACCGAAGGTTTTTGAACTAAATTGCATTCCCAGCTTGTTGGCTATTTTTTAATTTTGAGATAGGGTCTCATTCAGTTGCTAAGTTACCAGGGTGGACTCAAACTTCCCGTTCTCCAGCCTAAACCTCCCATAGCGCTGTCACCTGGAGCCCACTTACCATTCCGTAAGTCACTTGTGCTCTGACAATAAAATATCATAGACTGAGTAACCTAGAAACAATGAAAATTTACTTCTACAGTTCTAGAGGCTGGAAATGCCAAGATCAAAATGAAGGCTGATTTGATGTCTGAATAAGGTTATCTTCCTCAAAGGTTAGGACAGCAACCCCGTGTAATGAAAGGGGTAAACAAGCTCCCTGCAGCCCTGGCTTTATTTACCTAAGGGTGCTAATCTCATTCATGATGCTCTGACCTCATGACTTAATCGCTTCCACAAAGGCCCCACCTCTTAGTGTTATTACATCGGAGACAAAGTATTGACATAGGAATACGGGGAGGACAGGAGCGTTCAGATCATTGTTTTAAACATGAACAAGATTTAGAGTTCAAAAATTGACGAGTATCATCCTTAGCAAGCAATAGCTACCTTTGATTTTACATTATTATGTCAACGTGAAGATTTATCTTAGTAGCTGCAACCTGAAGGGGCTTTAAGCCATGAAGTTATGTGTTCTAATATAACACTGGTTACACTTTCAGAACTGTCCAAGAACTGCCGCCATTCTCTCTAGCTAACTATGGGACATTATGGGAGGTTGGAATGTGTGTACTAGGAAGCAGCACTAGCAACATTTACTGGGGTCCTACTTTACAATGACTTGTTTCTTCTTGTTTGACATTTGCTTTAAACTGTTTATTTTTGGGGGCTGGGGATTTAGCTCAGCGGCAAAGCGCCTGCCTGGCAAGTGCAAGGTCGTGAGTTCGGTTCCTGGTACCGGAGAAAAACCAAAAAAAAAAAAAAAAAAAAATAAAATAAAATAAAATAAATAAATAAATAAACTGATTATTTTTTCTTAACTGACTCTTCTGTCCATCTGCCCAGGGCCATGGAGGATGGTGACACAAATGCCCAAAGAGGTATAAAGGAGACCAGGTCCAGAAGAGGAAGGGGACTGAGACTTTATTTCCATTTTAACTGTGTTGTGCAACAGCTAGAAAATCCAAATTATTCAATCATTAGGTATCTCTTAACTCTTTAAAAATGTACCAATAACACATAGATCTACCTAGCTCCTGGTAATGCTGTGATAATATGTGGAAAAATATCTATGAAATACTCTTATTACAAAAGTGGATATAAAGAACAATACAATTTCCTGGACTGCTAATATTATTAAATATTGATTATAATAGCTCATTGTTATGACTTATCTCATTACAGAGATGTTTATGGATTATAGCAATAACCTTAGTCTCTTATAAACAATGTAGGTCAATGAAAAAGAGAGATGCAAATAAAAAGTCATACTTAGCAAAATTAATTTCAAATTGAAGAAACTCAATAAAACCACTATATTAGTATCTCCTTATCTGTGGTTTTGTTTTTTGCAGTTTGAATTACCCATGGTCTAAAAATGTTACGTGAAGGATTTCAGAAGTAATTCACATGTGCTACATAATTTTATTATATTGCTAAAATTGTCCTGTTGCTTTATTATTGCTATTAATCTCTTGCTGTGCCTTTTTTATAATTAAACTTTATCATAGATATGTATGTGTAAGAATAAATATAGTTTATATTGGATTTGGTACTAACCAGGGTTTCAGACATTTGGGATAGTTTGGAACACATCCTTCAGAGATAAAGGGAAGCTACTGTATTTATAATTAAATTTTCCTTTAATTCTTACTACTATAATTTTGCCTCAGTTGAGATCACAGACCTTTGCTGAAGGGAAAGGAGGAGAGCAAAGTCACCCCTTGGGGGTGGGAGGTGACCTTCCGGCCCACATTGAGGCCGCCTCTCACTAACACCTAAGTGTTTGGGCCAAAGCATACCCAACATATTGGAGCATTCCCAAAATATTACTTCAGCTGTCTATGCACTTTGGGCACAGTGAAGGGAAACCGTAAATGTGATGATCTAAGAAAATGATGAGAGCCCTACACCTAGCAATTTTTTCAAATTGAAGGTCATCATTTGTTAGTGACCTTCCCTTTAATTGCTGTAATGAACATTTTTTAAAAATGGGTAAAATAGTCTATGAAAGTATGATACAGTTAGCATAGGAAATACAAGAGTACCATGGCATGTAATAAGGGTATTATTTTATGAATTTTTTCTATCCTTTTTTAGGTGTCAGGAAAGAAAAGAAGCAAAGTACTGCCTCTGGCTTCCCCACACTTCTCCCGTACTGCCAACCAGTGCAGAAGACCTCTGTAACTCAAAAGGTACAGGGATGACTTTCCACCTGGAAGCGGACAAGTCTCAGTTAACACCAGCTGGGCGTCCTCAAATCCAATCTAATTCTGACCCTATCTACTGGGAAAGAGTGGCAGATATCACAGACTGGGGTCTTAGTTCTCAAGGCGACCACTGCTATTTCAGACTGTAGACATAGGCCACAGATTTACCTGCGCTTTTGACTGACTGTAAACTGGGGTTTCCACAGCCTCCTCTTTGGTGTTCAGTAATTTGCTTGAGCAGCTCATAGAACTCAAAGAAACACATTTACTAATTAGTCATAATGGACCCTACAAAGGGTTGAGATGCAAAGACTGCCAGGGTAACGTATGGAGAGGAAGAGTGGAGCTTCTATACTTTCTCCAGATGACACCTTCTGGGAAACTCCAAATGTTCAGTCACCTGGAAACTCTCTGGACTCTGACCTTTTGGCTTTTTATAGAGATTTCATTACATAGCCATGGGTGAAGCATGGCCAATTAAGTCAATATGTGATTGAACCAATAGGATAGGATCTAACACCAATGAGAAGGGTTAAAAGGAACTCACCTAGAAAGAAGCATCCACTTCAGCAATTCTTCCAGGTCTCTCTCCTCAACCTTCCTCCGTACAAGGGGGAAGGACATCTCTGCAAAGAGGAGCGTCTTATAACCTACCATCAGACAAGGAGACAGAACATTTCTGCCAAGAGGAGGGTGTCATGACCTAACATCTGATAAGGATCATACAGCGAGCTCAAGGAATGCCTATGACCCAGGAAAGAGAGATTCTAGTTTCCATGGTTTATCTTGGGAAGGGAATTATAGCTAGGAACTGTGAGTGAAAACCAAAATTTATGTATCATAGTATGATAATCATATATTTGTATGCACATGTACTAACCATGTAAAATGAATATATTTACTCTAGAATGGAGCAAATAACTTTGATACACTACAACTTTGGAACATGACATGCTTGAGGTTTGGATCCCAAAGTAGCTACTTCCTAATTAACTAGCCTTAGGCAAGTTGTTCTATCTCTGTAGCCCACTGGGCATAAGGCAGATGTTGTCATAAGGGCAGGTTATTGTGGGCGTATAATACTCAGGTTTATTCTCTGAATATAATGGACCTTTGATTTACAAAAATAACTCAGTCTTGACAGCTGGTTGCAACACAATTGCCAGTGGAAGGTTTCGGCTCCTCTACACAGCCTTCAAATTCTCTCTCTTGTGTACAAGCAGATCTCAGTGTCCTGAGAGACACTGGCCCAAAATTTCTCAATTAATCTCATACAGGAAAGGATGTCGTAATGCTCCTTCCAAAACTCTCTAACGATTAAATCTGTTTCTTAGACCATTTGGAAGGACAAGCAGCTGGCATTTGGGTCATAACTCGACTTTGTAAGTTAAAACAAAAATTCTGGTCATAACCCAAATTATTTGTATGTCAGGCAGGTCATAAGTTGAAGGTCCACTGTACTTCTATTGATGAACTATTAATTTTAATATTGTGAATTTGATTATATTAAAAAATGAGTACTTAACAGAAAAAATAAAAAACAAAGTATTGAATTCTTAATATTTATCATTTATTAAAAACCATCAAAATTTCAACATTGACTGGTTTTTGGTGTACAAAAATCTATAAAAGAAAAACAGCAATAAATTCCTATATGAACTACAATTAAAATACCAATAGAGTGCTACAAAAATAATCTTCACTTCAATTATCACACCTAAGACAGTCTTCACACATGGCAACCACATATTCAACACACACATAATTGCATACACTAACAAGGCATGTATTTTGCTTTCCCAGTCTTTTTGTAGAACATACTTGACATCTCAGTGGTCTTGCTGTTTTGTCAGGAGGTTCTTATTATACTAATCAGTGTGTAGTTAATGGGAACATAAAATATCATTAAAATAAAGTATTAAATTCCTAATATGTATTTAGAATAAAAACATTTAGAAGAAACACCAACATTTTCACATCAGCTGTGTACTTGCTTACAAAACCTAAAAGATAGCATCAGAAATAAATTCCTATATGAATTACAATGAAAATACCAATAAAACTCTACAACAAAAATAATCTTTGTTTTGACTGTCACACCTGAGGCAATCTTCACACACGACAACTACACTTTCCACTCACATGTCTCACTTACACTGACAGCATATGTGTTTAGCTTTCCTTTGCTATGTGGCAGGCCATTATTGTCACCTCTCTTGTCTTCCTATTTTATCAGGAGTTTCCTACTATATGGTATAACATGCACTTAGCAGGAAAATAAGATATCAGTGAAATAAAATATTAAATACATAATGAGTGCTTAGAATAGACATCAATATTTTCATATCAGCTGTTTATCTGCTTACAAAAACCTAAAAGACAACATAAGAAATAAAAACCTACATGAACTTCAATATAAATGCAAACAAAACTCTACCACAGCAATAATCTTTATGTCAACTGTCATACCCATGGCAGTCTTAATACATGACAACTGCATATTCCATACACAAGTACCACTTACACAGATAGCACATATGTTTTATCCTCCTGTTCTTTCTTATAGGGCACAGTTGACATCTTTTTGTATTTCCTGTTACTATAGTAGGTCTCTGAGATGCTGGGCCTGCCTGCGCACCTGTCAGCTCACCAATGTGATCCACAATCCTTTTGTGTAGTTTCCTGGGCAGAAACATTTTGTTTCTCCTCTGCTGTATATGTTCTCTTATGAGTTCCATTCTCGATCCTCTAAGAAAATTTCTCTGTGATATTTTGCATTTGTTATTTTCTTTGTAAACTATCAAATTATTTATGCCACGCATGTTTAGGATTAAGTGAAACACAACCATTGGCCAGTGCTTTGCATTTCGAGTGACATCATAGTTGCTGCATAACAATCATAGTTGCTGTCATCAATAACATCTAGTCCACCTTTGGTTTTTTATAGAAAGTTACTACCTCAGGTTTCTGCTTTGCTGAGTTTTCCCTATCAATAATTCCATCATAGTGCAATGTTGATATCAGCAGTACTAGTTTGTTATTCTTTGCCATATATGAGGCCAATGTTATTTCTTTCTGAAATCCAAAGATTGTATTATACAATTTTCTGTTTTGAGATTGCAACATTTCACTTGGAATTTCTGCTTTGTTCCTGCATACAGTTCCTACACTGGTGAACTTGTGCTCTGTTAGCAAATGCAATATCAATTGGAAACTGCTAAACCAATTGTTGAATGTCATACTCTGATTAGTTTGGGAGATGGCAGCAACAAGTCTGTTCACAACATCATTTGATTTATCACTACATGAATAAAGATTTGGTGGCTGAGTTTCAGGATAAACTTCTAAATAGGAAGCATAATAAGGCTTTGCATGTATAAGGGCAGATGTACTTATGCCATATTTTGAAGGTTTTTTGAGAATATACAGCCTGAAGCTACACTGACCATGAAAGGCTGCAAGATGTTCATCAACAGTCACATATTCAGATGGTGTGTAAATTGCTTGACAATTATCCACAAATCTCTCAAACAATGAGTGGACAGCGGCCAGATTATCGGTTCTTTTTCTGTTTTGGTGAGTGATTTTGTTATGAAACCTCAGGCAGTTCTGAAGGAAACAAGATCTCCTCAGCGCCATCATTGTTCTGCAAATCTCAAGTCTACAGCCATCATTTCTCCATAAATCTTTTACATTCCTGCGATAACTATGAGAAAGCCCTGCTAAGTACAGCAGACCTATGAATGCTTTCAGTTCTGTTAGTGAGGCTTACTAATTAATACATTTTTTAGGATGGCTATCAGTGCATATAGAACATTTTGCTTGAATTTCAGCATTTCCGTATTTCACAACATCTTGTAGCATTTCATCTGTTACAGTTTCCAAAACTGAATGGCAATGCTGATATTCCATCTAATAGGTTTCACCCCTGCTAAGATCCTCACTGTATTTTTGGACCTAGTTCTAATATTGGGTCATTTCATTTGGTTGCATGACCATTTTGTGTCATTTCAAGTAGTCAAATATGTACACATATTGCTGCTTTCTTCATCATCTAAATCAAGGAGGTCTGCATTCCCTGTGTCTGTACTGGTTGATTCTTGCTCCACTTCACTATCACAGGAACTACGGCTTACATGGCAAACTTCAAAGTCATTATCATCTTCACCTTCTATGTATGAGTGATCTGATGATTCACTTTTGACCTCCTTCAAAACTTGCAAATCTGTTCTTTCATGTGCCATTGTGCTGAATTGGGTTACTTCTACCAGAAAAATCAAAATAAACCCACAGTCCATTATGGTACAGTACATGTTTACATAGCAGAAAAATGGTGTGGGTATATTTTACCCCCCATGATGACCAGGTAAACATATAGAAAACCTGTTATAAAGAGCATAAATGTGGGTAAAAAGTCCCAATTTGACACTTTTGCAGAGGTACACACACTTTGCAGTTCATCATATATCAAATGGGTAAACACAAAGATTGCTTCCTGTATCCCCCAGGTGCAGGCACTGAGACACATAGCCAGATACTATTGTGCTACAATAAAAATTTACAGTAGAAAAATATGGGGTGGGTTGTTGTAACCCAGTGTTATGTTCTATATAACTTAAACTCTTCAGCATGCAGAAGAACGTGTTTTCTGTATATCTGTAAATGTCCAAATTACTGGAGTAAGTGGTTTATTTTTCTAGATTAGGAACAACAGGCAAGTCTTGGTAAATCTTCCTTTAGTAGCAGTATGACATGGTCCAAAGTATTTAATTTCACTATAGTTTAAGGTCTTTTTGTTTGTTTTAACTGTAGATGTGGGTAATAAAGCAAGTAATGCATGGGTCTGCTGTGAAAATATAATAACAGCACAATACCTGTGAAGAAGTTCAGAGAATGCACCCTAAAATGTACCATTTTGGTATATTAGTTATTTTGAACTAAAGACGGTGGAGAAATAGCAGATGCAGGAAGGATTCTCCAACTTTCACCCCTAACATAATATTCTTCAGGTAGAGGTAGAGGGTACCCTTTCCGTACTATGAAGATAAGAATACTCTCATCACTGAAGACTAACAGCTGATGCTGAAAAGAGTTCATGCAAAGAACCCTATTAAAATTGCCCTTATCTTCCATTAGTTTCTTCCATATATCTCTTAATCACTTTCCCACAAATTAGTCCTTCTAGAAGCTTAATCCTTTTTTCATTTGTCATAATATTTCTCTGCAATTTGTCACTCTTTATTTAAAAATGTGCATAATCTCTTGGTCCTAATTGCTTCTCTGGGTATCCACTTTTGTCCTACAGAGGCCCTTGTGTTACATGTAAAAATACTAAATAAAGTTTGTTTGCTTTTCTTCTGTTAACCTACCATTTTATAGGCCCAAGCTATAGAATTTCAAAGATCAGAGAAAGATTAATTTTCTTTTCTTTCACTTCTGGCAGTAAGAACAGGTTATCAAATTTGGGGTCACCCTGCTTACTCCAGAAGTAAGCTGAGATCTTAGGGACAAATAACAGAGCCAACAAAAGATAGGGACTCTTAACCCCGCTAGTCTCCCAGATCTCTGTCTGTAAGGTACAATGGAGTGAATCTAAGCTTTTTGTAAAGTGTGTATATTGGTTGAGGGGAAAACTGCCCCTGTTCTCACCATGCTCGATTCACCATTGGAGTCTCTCATGCTGACGATGCTATCCAGAAACCTGTAGACTTAATATCTCCCAATAGTTTTATTGCCAATGGGCACACAAATGAAACCCTACTACAGGCTCTTCACCTTACTACTAAAATTGCTATTTGTTTGTTAATCAACCCGTACAAAGAGACTGATAATATGTCCCCTAAGAACAACAATAAAAAAAAACTAAAGAAGTTGCTAAATATTCACTTGAAAATAAATCCCTTTACCATTCCTTCTCCAGCTTATTTATATATTTTATTTATGTATTTTATTTTATATATTTTATGTATTTATTTTTTGAAACAAGGTTCTGCTAAGTAGTCCAGGCTAGCCTTGAACTCACTACATAGCACAGGCTGCCTCAGCCTTCCAAGTGAGTGCTGGTACTTAGGCACACATCCCCCACACCCAGCACTCAGGTCAGTTTATAAACGTGCTTGTATTCTTTACTGCTATCACTGACAATAAGGAAATCTGGAAAAAGTAAATCTATAAGTGCATCAGGTAATCACCAGATCCTTTATACATTGTGCCAAATAGAATTCCTGCAGTCTGCCTTCTTTTGATCTTTTGGCTTGCATTTATCTCCCATCAGATGAGACATACGTTTAATGTATGGGGATGTTAAGGAACTAAAGGACAATTGGTCCTTCCTTAACAATTACAAAATTTCTGACCAAATTATTTACCATAATTACCAGATTTTTATCAGATTTTTGTAAGTAATCTACACATCTAAGGGAATACCCTAAGGACCATCCTTATGATTTGTCTACATGAACTCCATAGCCTTACCTTCAGCCTTTTGGACTACTCCAGCTCTTTGATTTTTAGCTGCATGCTTAGTGAGTAGAGTACATACTCTCTATTTAGATGTATTAACACCATGACAATGACAAAGAAATTAATAACTGAGATTATGGCTCATTTTTAGCATTCTTTTATAGACTGAATCAAACTAAAAATCATTTTTCAACAGAAATAAACCACTTGCTCAGAAAAATTATGCATTACTTTTTAAAATTTTGTACCTTATGCCACCCTTGATCATCAGGACAAGAAGAATGGAAAAATCTAAATATAAAAAATTTTAGGAGAAAAATTTATCAAGAAGCTGGACTTAGTAGCTGAAAGTTTTACCTTTGGCCTTTATAAAATATAAACTTCTCCAATTAAGAGAAAATATTTTGAAATAGTTTTTGTGATCCTGGACCAATTAGCATCTCTAAACCTTCCATTCTTGGAAAAGTGGATCTTATGGTGGCTTAGTAAAAAATTTTATGCTATGACTTGCCATGTATATAACTAGCATGGGGATCTCATCAAGCACAAGAGATGTAGCCTGCATTGACTGACCAACCTTGCCATCTATTTCATCCAAGCGATAATCATGCATCAAGATTTTTAGAACAAAGTGTATATCATTACCTTGCAGGGAAATACTTTAAGATGTACTGCTAACCATCCACACAGATTTTTAAAAAAAAAAAATCCTCCTTGGTTCACGTGAGCTACATCAGGCTACATATTCCCAAGAGAACTGGAAAATCAACCCAACAGGTGACCTCACAGTAGGGATCTCAGAGCCAATCCCAAGCTTCTAAAAGCATATGACATCACAAAGCTTGTGCCAAGTCACAGTCAACACACTTTGCTTTCACTTTTAAAAAAATAAAAAAATAAAAAACCTCCTGTCCTTTCCCCACATTTGTTGAAAAGCTGGTTGGAAATTATTTCTATCAGATTCCTCCCCTGCCTCTGTTCCTCCTTAGTAGACCTCACTTTCCAACATGTCTCTCTTTCATCACAGTTAATTTTCTTAACAAGGTAGGCACAAATTTGAGATTCCTTTACACCAGTTTTCCAAACTCTGGCATGTTAACTAATCTATATGACTGCTAGGCGTGTCAGTATCAGCTTGTATGAAAAGCCTGAACTATTTTGCATTCTTGCCAGTGTGAGTACATAGTAGACCCATTGTGGTTATTCATGGCTGAATGAGATGGTGCAGTACCCATGACCAGAAATAAAATATCCCTCTGCATTTCCTTATGGTGAGATCCCTGGCTAGAGAAAAACCTCTATGAAAGTTCAATGACGGCTTCTTGCTTCAAAAACACACTAGAAGAGAATTTTCCTTTGTATTGAATACAGCCATGGTACTGGATCCTTCCTTGTCAAAAAAAAAAAAAAAAAAAACCATGACCATATTGCAACTAAACCCTGTAATTTGATTCCTCGGGTAGTGACTCAAACCCTTCACAGAGGTCATAAATGTTTGTAGAACTGTCTTTTATGGTACAAACTTTTACCAAATCTCTACATATTTGGGCTGGTTCACAGAGCATGACATGAGCTGCCTCAAATGTTCCTCTGACTAGGAAATCTAAAAGGTTTTACATTGGTAGATGAAAAGTTGAGAGTAACTTAAGTGATTAATCTAACACTTACATTTGTCAAGGCCAGAATTCAGACTGGCTATATCAAAAATTTCACAACATGACCTATTTTTTCCAGACCGGCAGGGACACATAGAAAATGGAGGTGTGCAAATACCAACATGACCTCACACAGGCTGTGAGGCACGCTGGACCTAAGGAATTGGAAGTTACTCTCTTACTCTGACCAACATTGGTTTTGATTGGTTTTTATATCTCATGAGGCTGTAAGATGTATGAAGAATGTCTGCTTAAATGGCCAAGGCAGTGGGAACTCAGATACCTAGCTCCTTTGGTCGCCACCAGACTGTCCATCTGAGATGCTTACTAAATTATCTTCTTGGGCTCCTTCATTCATAAAGTCAGGCCACATGACATCAGTAAGAGCACATAGAAAATGTACTCGAGTATTGCTTCTCCAATTGTTAGTTTTGGAACTATGACTCAGAAAAACCAGTCCTAAGAGTTCAAAACCACTATGAAAATGTGGGAAGCAGTCCAATCAGAAGTTAATATATTTGCCGCTGTTTTACTCTAAAACTATCACTTCCAAGATCCACAACTTCCCAAGAGGGAGGACCTTGTGTATTCACCAATGGAAAGTGCTGATTCTTTGGAAATCATATAGAACAAAGTGTCTAATTTAAACCTTCGACCAGAAAAGGTTTATACTGTCTCTCAGATAAATGAGACTCTACCATTTCATTGGATTGAACTATTCAGAGTTGGGAGGTAATAGAATATGGGGAAATATGCTTAGATTTATTCTTTTATGAGAATTTATTCTCTTTCTGGTATACACATTCTTCTCTCCCTTTGCAGTTACCTTAGGACTATGGTAATGACTTGATTATTCTCTGCACAGCCAGCAAATCAAATCAGGTTTGAGAAACTTATGGCAAAGTTCAGTCAAGGAAAATGAAGAAGGTTCACAAAATGCCACAATAAAATGTACCGCTTCAGCGTGTTGGTTGTTTTGAGTTAAAGATGACTGAGAAACAGCAGATCAGGAAGAGTTCTCTCACTCCCGCAAGACCTAACATTCTTCAAGTACAGAAGGCCTTCCTCCTGCTCAGAAGAGGACAAAAGTCTTACCAGTAGATACTGGAAGTTAATATCGAAACGGTCCACAGATCAGAGCTTTCATCTTCTGCTGGTTTCTCCATGTGTCTCTTTGTTATTTCCCACACAAATTACTGCCCCTGGAATCTTAAACTACTTTTTCTTTGAGCTGTCACTTTCCCAAAATTTATTACTTTTCATTTTCACTTTCCCCAAATTTAATGCTTTTCACTTATGAGGTCTTGGTACTAATTGCTTTTTAGGGTCTTTAGTTTTCCTCTGAAGACTTTTGTGTATGTGTAAAATACTAAATACAATTTATATGCTTTTTTCTTGTCCGTCTGTTTTTTGTTACTTCTATTCATAGGCCCCAGCCACAGAAGTTAAAAGAATAGAGGAAAGTTATTTTCCCTCCCTTACACCTGGCACATAGTAATTTGTTCTGTTATTAATAATATTGTCCCTTTCCCCATCCTTTTCTCTAAAACAGTAGCACACACGAAAAGCCCAAGATCACTTAGTAGTACATAGACCTACTATCATTGAAACTTTCCCCAGGAATCGTTGTAAAAAACTAATCTAAGAATGTGAGCCATTAAGGAATTCATGATGGAAATGAACTACTCAGTCAATTCTTCCCACAGTGGAGCTGGATCTAATGATGGTGCTGTGTCTTAGTAATGTGAGCATCACCACACGCTGTGCTCTGGTGAGGGAGGTGTCGTGAGGAGGACTTCATGAGTCATGGCTCCACCAGTGAATCAGACTGACTCAAGTATGTGTGCATCACGTTAATTTGGCTGCCACTTTGCAGCATACATATCACAGAGTGTTGTTAAGTTGCCCAGGCTGACGTCAAAATCAGGATCCTCTTGCTTCAGCTTCCTGAATATCTGGAATTACAGGCATACATCCCTCTGCCAGTTCTTTGCATCTTAGAGAGAGAGAGAGAGAGATGGAGACAGAGACAGAGACAGAGACAGAGACAGAGACAGAGACAGAGAGACAGAGATTCAATTACGAAAATATCCAAGCTCGGACTTCAAACTGCCTTGCCTAAGCTCAACAGAAATATTTTTCTGACACGTGAAATATGACTTATCTGGAAAGTTTTTAGTTTTTAAAATTTGTTTTAGTAGAATAAGTGACATTTAAATAGTAGCAAAACAGCTGAGTGTGGTGGCGCATGCCTGTAATCCCAACACTCAGGAGGCTGAGGCAGGAGGATCATTGTGAGTTCGAGACCAGCCTAGGCTACAAAGTAAGCTCAAGGCCAGCCTGAACTGCATAGCAAGATCCTGTCTCAAAAAGACAAAAAAAAAAAAAAAAAAAAAAAAAAAGAGAGAGAGAGAGAGAAATAGTAGCAAAACATATTATTGATATGGAATTTACACATTTTTGCAGTGCTTAGTGGTAATATATTAGACCAAAAAGGCCAGTTATGCTTCTGTTTCACAAAACAGAAGCATTATTAAATCAAAGAAGAAACAATATTATTTCTCAGTAATAACTCAGAGCAACTTACTTTGGGTATTAGCATGTTTTTTCATCTGTAATATATGAGCAATCATCAATAACCACTGTTGTTGTTTCTTAAAATAAACAACATCTCTAGTTATATAGCATATATCAGCAGTGTATGTCAGATATTACACAAAAAAGAAAAACTTACAAATTCCAACTTTTAAGCCATTATAAAGATGCATTAATATTTGTAGTTCTCTCTGTCCCACTATATTACTCCATAAAAGTCCAAGGACATTTACCCTTACATAAGAGAAGACCAAACAGTTGTGTTTGTCGCCTTACTGAGTACAGAGAATAACAGGAGCCCCTTCTGACTCTCACCTGAGATGAGAGAAACAGGAGCTCGGTGCTAGAGCAACAGGAGACTAAGAATCTGGTGAGTCAGGGACAGGACGGGAGTGTCCCCGAGAATCACTAGCGGGGAGAAGGCTCTGGAAAGGAAGGAAGTAGGAGAGGATCTGGAAAGTCAGCTGTGAAAATATCCAGGAATATTATTAGGATGGGGTTGTTCTGCTTCCTAATTTTTAAAGACTTTAGGCTAACCGTGCTGTTGGGAAATCGAGACAAGATCTTTATAAAACCTACTCTTTGGCTTAAGACAAGAAAACAAAAATCCCAGAATAGATAGCAAGATAACTTCAAAGGGTTAAAGGGAAATCTCAAAAGCCACATGCTTAATTGTTAGCCTAATTACAGGTCAGAAAGTGTCCCAAAGTTGCATCTAATTAGTACTTCAGGTATTTTATAAATGTTTATAGTTGGGAAAAAATTTGTTGTTGTTATTCAGTGGTGTATGGCTTCTTACTTTTTTTTCTTAAAATGCAGTAGCTATAGTTTCAAAAATCTAAATGATAAGTAATATTTACTGATGCTATGAACTATTTCAATCAGATTTATGATCTTTGTTGTAATTTGAAATGTGAAAGAGATGCAGCAATTCTTTCAATTTCAATGAAACCGTGTTAACAAGAAAGTGATTTCTACCAAATCTCAAAAATCTGTCAATCATATTTGATTAAAAAGCCATCTAAAGATTTCCAGTAAACATTTATTTATGACATCTAATTATGGCACCAAAACTCCAGAGTGAGAATTATCATCTTCATTTTCAAAATGAAGAAATAAGCCTTAGAAAAAATTCAGTAACTTGCCCACCAACCCAGAGCTAGAAAACTTATCTATCCTAGTGGATGAGTCACTGTCACTGTAGAGATAAAAATATGAAACTAACACAGGATATTCTCTAGAGAAAGGAGATGAAATTATCTCTTCCTATACTGTACAAATGATGGTAATCTTTCTGCTTACGTAATTAACCATCATGCTTTGCAGTTAGAACCAACTTCTCTTGAAAAAATGAAATAAAACACCCTAAATATCTTTTTCTTTGTTTTAAACATAAAAGAACCAAAACATATTAACAGACACATAGACATAAACAAAACAACACAAAAATAACAAAAGCAATACAGAATTTCAGACAAAGTGATAGGAAATTAACAATGGTTGTTGTATTACATATTGGTATCTTCAAACTGGTTAC